ATTAAGATTTTAATTTAAAATTACCAAATTTATAAATTTCCTAATTTATCTATTGATTTGTGGTTAATATTGGTTCTCACAGTTACCACAAACAACTCAGTTCTCCCTTGAATAGGCCCTATATATATATATATATATATATATATATATATATATATTTTGTCAAAAGACAAACTAAATTATTTTCATTTGTACCCGTGAGTCCACTAGTTACCAGAAAATCTTATGTTATTGGTCTGTCACCAAAAGTATGTTGTTCTTCAATAAATATGTTATTAATTTCATTGCCAACGGATTATTTAGGTATTTGAATTGCAAGAGAAACTAAAGAAAACGGATGGTGATCAACGTACTCAAGAGGAGGAGTGGGCAACATAGGATCAAGAGTTGGCAGTGTGTTGCGGTTGCAGGTGTGCAGATCGCCGGTAACTCTATAGAAGCAGCTACGGTCATATTTTAAGACCTTCGTTCGGAGATTCACTACCCTGCCGCCTCCTAATTATTTAATATTGTTGCACAAACCTTTTTTGGTGTTATTCAGTATGCATTAAATACAAAAAAATATTGTATCTTATATTAATATTTATATAAGGTAAATGCAGCAATTAAATTCGTACAACCTCTTTACTTTTGGTAAGGTTTGAATTCATGATGTCCCACGAAGGACAAAGACCCTTTGATAAAGTACTCACTCATTCAAGCATATGTTATTTTGCCACAACAATCACCAAGTACCACTATGTTTTTCCTTTATCTAATGTTGATTTTGAGTCCCAAATTTAAATGGGACTTAAAATCAGTATTCATCAAACCAATCTAAATTTGGCTAAAGACTTGGAGAAGAGGAGTAACAATCAAACGTTCAACAGAGTTTCAATATCATGAGAACAAACAACTTCTAGATTTACCAAATTAAACTTTTAGAAATCCGAAAGTTACAAACCTCAACATCGCTGAAATCTGAAACAGATAGACTGATGGATGGCATTCAGGCGGAGAGCGTTCAGGCGAGGCAGGAGGCCAGAGGGCTGTCGGCTCTATTTCGTTCTTGATATGCAGTGCTTCTAAATTCTAATGATTAATATATAAAACAGGTACAGGGTGGGGAAGATACTCGTCCCCGGCTGAGTCCCGGCCCCATCCTCAGTTTTGAGCAAAATGGGGATCCCAGTCCCTAGGAGCTGGATTTGCACGAAATTCTTATCCTTGACCAGGGCAGGTAGACCGGGTTACCCAAAGAGTTGGTGCTTGTTCCCATGCCTAGGGCTAAGAGTAGAGTCCAGAAGGCAGAAGCTAGAAGAAAGGAGAGAAGCAAAGTGACAAGCTAAGGCTGTCGATTCAGAGTCCAGTGAAAGTCATAGGTGAGAGCGAGTTTTTGGAGGGAGAGTGAGAGGGTCGTGAGTTAAGGGCAAAGGGGCAGCACTACAATGGTGAACTAATTACATTTTTGGTCATTCGGTTGCTACTTTGTTTCAGTTTTGGTCCCTAAGTAACTCTAATTAAATTGATTAGTTAGCTTCGAGGTATTTTAATCCATTTACTTTTCCAGGGTCTTTTTCATTTTTTTGTTTTATTAAATTATATAGTAAATACAATTTGAGTCTTTGTGCTTTGCCTGTTCTTGTATTTCCTATCTTTTTCATTCTTCATATTATATCCTTACTATATTAACTAGTGTTCAACATTGCACGTTGTACGATGATACAAATTTAGACAAAAAGTGACATTTGATCTTAAAGAATATTTTAGATAAAATATCATAATATATTTCGTACATCTACTATTTTTCTTTTATATATATAATGACCTTCAATCTATCATTTTTCTCATCAATATGAATAACGAAAACAACATCGCAATTGCATATTTTTTATACTTAAATCTCATAATACTACTTCATGCCCTACAATCTTCATTTTATATATATACATGTATAGATATAGATTTTTACATAAAAAATGCCTCCAGAAAATACGTTATAAACTATAATTTTCATTATTGATATTTGTCAGCATTATGTCATTTTTGTATTTAATTAAATAATTTGTGTGTACACAACAATTTTCTTGATGATCCCTCACTCACCAACTCCCAGTTTATTCACAGCCATAAGAGATTCTAGGATAAAAATACCAGAACTACCCCTTCTAGAATATTAATCCTACTAATTAGCCTGGGCTTGGGCTTGGGCTTGGGCTTGGGCTTGGGCTTGGGCTTGGGCCGGTGCATAACAGATTTGTATGTGGATGCTTTTTGGTTCAAATTGTGACCCGAGGAATTCCAGTTAGAAACCATTTGTTGGTACTTGGTAGTTTGGTGTAAAGATGGCCAAATGGGTCCGGGACCGGCTCAGTCCGAACCAGTTATAGCTCATCGATTACGGCCGAGTTACGGTTTTCGTCAAAAAACAAGGCTCAGTCCGGGACTAGTTATACATAAGCCTGGTTTAGAAAAATAATTTTTTATAAATTATATATCAAGTTTTCAAGATTTCTACAAGATTTTCTAGTTTTTTTTAAGTTCTTCAAGTTATCTTTTGATGTTTTTCAAGTTTTTATAAGTGTTCCGATACTAAATCTTGAAAATCGTAATTATCAAAACACATCTACAACATTTTGGTGTAAAAAAGATTTAAAAAATATCTTTGAAGTGTATTTTAACGACCCAATTAGATATTTTAAAGCGTATTAAAAAATCAATAAGATATTGTCAAAAAAAAAAGTAATCTTCAAACACGATTTTTTTTATGTTCAAAGTTGATTTATGGAAAAAATATTGAAACCGGTTTGGCTAAACCGACTGGTTAGGGTGCATTTAATACACTGGACAAGGACAACACAGAACATGACAGAGATCCATATCCCGTGTTTGGCATGAATTTTATGTGGAACGGACAGGAACCGAGTGAAACAAAGTGGAACAAGCCTGTTCCACCCCTACCCTATGGAACATGGTGAAACAAACTTATATTTTTAACAATATAACCTTAAAATAAAACTTAATTCTCTTCTAAAACATCAAATAGGTCTCTTTTTTTACATTTTATTCATTCTTTAAATTTTATTTATTGTATTTTATGTTTCTTAAACTGTCCTTAAAATATTATTTTTATACGGTTTCTATATTTTTATTTATTTATGTAATTTTTTATATATTAATAATAAAAAATATAATGTAGAAAATATATAAAAATAAAAATAGAAAACTACATAAACTTTTTATTCGGTGTCATTTTAATTGTTTTGATGAAAACTTCAAATGATATATTTTGTTATAAAAAATAATTATTTTATTATAATTTAATAAATTACATAAATTAATTAAAATAAACAATTCATCAGGGGTAAATTGGTCATTTTATTTGTTCTGTTTTGTCCAGTTTTCTCTTACCAAACGTTGAACAGTTGTCATGTCATGTCCTGTTCTGTCATGTCCTCACATCCTTACAGAACACATAGACTGGGGCTGGGTTTTTGGTTAGGACCTGGACCATGACCTATTTGGACCCTGTCCGAGACTGATTTTTGGTCATTTCTAGCAGAACAAGCCCAAACAGAAGACCCAATTGGTACACTCCATCACTTGGAAGGCCCAAAAGAGATACGAAAACTCATCTGGATGTAAGATTTCTTATAGAATTAATAGACAAAAAAACAATCTTCATTATCCTTGTAAAAAAGTTATGTCTTCTGGATACACATTAATCATTCCTAGCAGGTTATTCTAAAAAAATTTCAACTTAAATTTGAGGATTCAATGTCGGTAGTAAGTGTTACACGAACAAAATTCATCATTGACAAGCCAGCAACAACAACAGCAGCAGCAGCAGCAGCACCATTACCATCTGCAACTAGTGTTTGGAATAAAATCATGCAGGTCTCCTTAGAATCTTGACAAGCAGATACCAGAGGCCAGAATCAGCAGAGGATAACACAACAATAAGCATTGCCACAAGAACAAGAGTCAGGCTAGCAGTCTTCACCTGCAATTCATTGCATACATATTTCTAATAAGCAAATACTTCACCTCCATACCTTTCATTGCAAAACTTTTCGTTTTGGAATATCATCCTCTACGATAAATGCCATAATCGATTCTAATTACCTACTTGCCCATTATCAGCATTACAAATACATCATGACCATGATATGATTCATTTGTCTTTAAAGAAAGTTACGATATTTAACAAAGACTAGAGTAGAGCATGGTTTCCGTGAAACGAAAAACCCAACAACATGATAATAGAACTAATTCCCATTTTAAGACGAAATTTTCAAGCTAAAACTACATATAATTGTCACCAAGGCATCATTGACGGTCATCAAGGCATTTCGGCCCAATCCACTCGTAATTGCCTTACATATATACCATTACACATGTGGTTCTTATATCATGATAACCATCTCATTATTTGCTATTAAATGATGCGTATTAGGATTTATGAGACATTTCATTATTTAGGTGTAGAAATTTCTTTAAACTGGCAATGGGCAATAAATAATCTCTCTATACCTCTAGTCGACTTATGCTCAGATATGTTAAAAGATTATGATAACCAGGAAATAAAGCTACAACAAAAGTATAGTTACTAACCGTATTCTGGAAACCTGGCCACTCTATGTACTTCAGCTGGCTCGGTTGCTCCGCAAGGAAGGCAAACAAAGATTTTAAACCCCTGAAATTTAGTTAGCAAAAGTTCCATGTTTCTTCTATTATATTGTACAACAGAAAATTAATTGATATTGATTAGTACAACAAAAATACTTGCCTGGTAAAGCCCTTTGTAGGTGCTAACCAAAAGGGTTCCTTGACATCATTATTAAAACTAAGCTCGTGGTTTCCTCTTCCTACTGAAATAGCATGTTTGGCACCATAACCTTCTCTAACGAAATACTGAGGCCTTGTTCTAGAAATCTTCAGTAGACAGTCATCAAATTATGTATCACACATGGCATTAGCTATATTTAGTGATAAAAAACAATGAAAACATGGTTACCTTTTCAAAAACCAGCCAGCTTTTTCTGTAATATATTGATTTGTTCCCAATTAACTTCTGTGTAGGAAATAGTGCTTTCGGAAATGTGATACCTATTCCAGAGTGGGAGAGAAAATCTCGGTAAATATATGGCAAACAAAGCGAGAAACGCTACAGTGACAGTGTATGTGTGTTTTTTTGGGGAAGGAGGGGCGGTGTCACTTCAGGTTGCAACTTCGAAGTAGTGTCCAAGTTAGACGTTTCAAACTCAATAACAACCTTTCCATAAGAAACTGTGGTATTAGCCAATCATACACAAACACAACTGTCCAAAATGGAACTTTCTATCTAATGATCTACCATAGGGCTCTCTGTACCATTCTGATAAACCTCAAATTACTTATAGAAGAAGAAATTAGTTTTGAGTGGGTTTAATTGTTGTTTCCTGTTACGAATAAGAGAGGGGCAGTTTGGTAATTGTGTCTAGCTTAAATAGGGAGTTGTTGGTAGTAGTCGGGCATTCTGTTTTTTCTTTCTGGTGATTCTGTTGGGAGCGTAAGCTCAGGGAGAGAGTCCCAGACCTCTCGAAAGTCTGGGAGACGTATCAATTTTGTATCGATAAAGATTGGCCGACAATTTCATTCTTGTTCGTTCCAATTGAAGAATTCTAGCTACTGTAATTCTGTTTCTGTTTGTAATCGTTTACGAATTCTAGCCAGGGGGTGCGTTTCTGTTTAAGAATTGGGCTAGGGTATAACACATTCTACCACATACCTTCAATCACAAGGATTTCAATCTCTGCTGTAAGCCAAACATGAGAAGAGCACAGGAGAACGACATATAGAGCAAAGAGATGAACATATGTTTCCACTTATATCGCAGAGTGTTAGTAGTAGATGCTCTTATGATGATGCTTTCACAGTGTAAGCTGAATATGGAAACAATGAACAAATGTTGTTGCGAAGAAATCTTAAAAAGGCAAACTCTTATTTCGGCATGCACAGTTGCATTGCATCATATTGATACCCTTTGAAGGGTTAGCAAGTTGAATACACCAACACAAGGATGAAGCAGAGGAAGATGAGAAAGGTGGCATGCTCTGAAATAATATGGGTTCAGAACAGAAATATCAGAGGAAGGAGGATGTAAAGGAAGAACAAAAAGTCATAGAGTAGATGAGGGCTCTAATAGTTTGATACCAACTTGAGAAGAGGCTTATCCATGATGGTTGGATTTCAAAGAGGATTGGGCGTCCAGTTGGAGAAACACATTGTTTTCTTCTAAACATAAGAGATAAAAATGCTGCCCATTTTGCGTATAGAAGATAATTAGACGGACAGAATACACCACCCCCTGGAGGGGGAAATGAGAAAAAGGTTAAATTTGTTGGGAGAAGTATAGAAATGTTCAAATAAAAGCAAAAGGTGTGGAAGATTTGGGTGAGAGAAGAGATGAAACGAGATTACCAAAAAACAAATAGAGGAACAGATTGTGACGGTTCATGAGAGATGTGGTTTTTCAAGCACCACGAGGGATCGGAATTAGAAATGGTTGCATCTGTTGTGAGAAGTATACAAGTGTTCGAACACACAAACATTTGGAAGATTTAGGTGAGAAAGAAGATAATAGGAGTGTACCATAAAATGGATAGAGGAACTGATTGTGACAATTCATGAGGCCACAGCTAGTAGGGAGAGGTGCATTTGAGAAACAAGGATTAAGAAACTGTGAGAAGGTAATTTGGGGAAAATCTAACGAACAAAGCAGAAATCAAAAGCTAACAAGAAAAAATCTTGTTAGTTAGATAGTTAGAAGATTTGGAGTGTCAGCCTGTGTTTTAGAGTAAAACAAGACTCAACTTTGTTACAGAGGATTCAATAGGTTAGAAAAAATCTAATTCAGTGATTTTATTGATGATGTTGATTCATAGAAAAAAATAAAAGAGAATAAAAGTGATTGGTGTCAAATATGAGGACGGATTAAACCACATGAGTCGTGGCGTAATAGTGGGGGATGTGGTGGAATATCCCATCTTCCCAAGATTCCATTCCAGGCATACACAACAATTCTGGCCACTGAGACTGATTTCTTGCACTCACAATTTGCCGAGATTAGTTCCAAAAAAAATATGGATGGATTAATGATGAATATTCTTCGTTGGAAAGTCAAGGGTTAGGAAACTGATTGAATTTATGGTTAAGAAAGCTATCAAGTGAATCAGGTCAATGGAACAAGAGGAATTGAAAATTAGGTTGTTCTTTTGGGAAGACAAATTTGGGGTAGAGGCACAAGGAAGATCTACAAGATTTGTTGGTTTTGGGGAAAGTAAGAAGTTTGTAAAAGGTCAGGCATCAAGCAATAGATTGTGATATGCCACAACAATTTTATTGATAAAACAACAAAGAAATACAAAACTACCTACTTTCGAGAGGTTCTCCCAAGATGTTCAATTCAATATCAATAACTATAATTCACTCAAGCATGTCATTTTTAGCTACTAATCTCTTTGATTATTTATGATAATAACATTGACGCTACTTTTCCCTAATTGGTGATAAAACATATTCCACACATGTATAACTTTAGGATTCAACTAGTACTAATTTTGGTTAATGTATAATTCATTTTTACCATTAATTGACGGGTTAGCTAGTAATTGCTCACTAGCTATGAAAAATCATTAGTAATAATGGTAGTAGTTAACAATAGTAACAGCATTGCATTACAACTACTTGAGGGCAAACAAATGGCCAAAATGCATGAATATGAATTGTACTTTGACCAGGTTCCTATTCCGGAGATCATCTTTCAAAAGCCTCATTTAAGGGTTTATAGTTTGAAAAATGTCTATTTTAGTACACAATGGCGCTGACATGATGTAGTGAAATTTGAAAATATCTAAGTTGCTCTTTTTTATTGACGTGTTTCAGTTACATTCCCAAAAATAAACATTTTCAAACTATAGATCCTTAAAGAGGCACTTTAAACCATAGACCCTTAAATGTGTCTTCTAAAAGTATGTTCCTAGAATAGGAATTGAATGAAAGTGTGTCCCATTTCCATGCATTTTGCCGGCAAAGAAATAGAAAGCACAGTAAGGGTGAGATGAGCATTTGACGACCGGAGTGCTCATCTCTCTCTCTCTCTCTCTCTCTCTGTGTGTGTGTGTGTGTGCCAATACAAAAGAGCAACTTAGGGCGTCTCCATTTAACCAGACTGGGTATTTGATCCATGAGATTAGATACTGGAAAATGGGCTGCAAGGTGTGCAACTACTGCTTCAAATTCATCAAGGTAGCCATTTTGACAAAATGGTAACCACCACCATATCTAGTTGCCGACTTTGGCAACTTTTACTACGACTAAAGAATGACATGGTCACTTGATAGGACCTGTAACCTAAGCTATCGGAAGGTAAGACCTTGATAAATTAAGGTCTTACACAAATTTACAATATGTTCTTAAGAGAGATGCAATATGTTCCCACTAGTTAAGCTTGTAACCCATTTTACAAGATGCAGACACCACATATTTAATGTAGGGACCAGAAAACTCTCTTTTAGGTTGCACTTGGTACAAGGGACAGGGCAAAACAGGACAGGACATAACTCACTGTCCCACGTTTGGCGCGACATGAGACAGGACAAAAACACACTATTCCACGTTTCACTTGACACAAGACAGGGACAAGGACTACGACAGGGTAGGACAGGATGAGACAGAAAAGGCTTTTTTTGTTCCACTAAAAGTGGTGGAACAAGATGGGACAAGGATGAAACAAAAACTTAAAAATTAATAATCTACCCTCATTTGATATAACTTCAATACGGCATTTGTTTTAATGGTCGCCGTCGCCCATCCCTTTCACCACCATTACCACCAGTAGCCACCTCCACTTCCTCCTTCACTACAACAGCCTCCTCCACCACCTCCACAATCACCGTTGACTCTCGGCCACCACTACCATTGTCAGCCACCTCCACCTCCTCCACTACAACAGCCTCCTCCACCACCTCCCACAACCACCGTTGACTCTCGGCCACCACTACCATTGTCAGCCACCTCCACCTCCACCTCCACCTCCATCACCACTATAACCACCAACGCTATCTCTGGCACATCAGCCACAACTACCTCCTCCACCGCCGTGACACTGTCCACCATCTTCACATCCTCTACAGTAACCACCTTCTACCAACCAACACTGCCTCTACCTCCACCACCACCACCATCACCATCACCATCTTCACATCCTCTACATCCACCGCACCTCTGCTAATTCATAAGGATCTTCCAAACCGAATAATCCACAATTTTTTCTTCATACAAACCGGGATTTTTCAAACTACCATCAACTATTATTAATTATTCGTCAAATTTGGTTCTATTTATATATGTATGTATTTATGTATATGAAAATTGGGTAAAAATTGTTTATAAATTAGATTATTTATATATTTACTAGATTTGTCTCACTTTTAACTATTATATGATATACAGAATCATAAAAAATTAGGGGCAACTTGTTTAGTCATGTCCTATCTAATCTTAGTCGTACCAAACACTAGACAAACAACTTGTCTTGTCCAGTCCTGCCCTCTTGTCCTAACCTGTCATGTCCGGTCTGGGTCGTGTATGCGTACCAAACACTACCTTAAGAACTTAGTTCTACAACACCTCTGAATTCATATGATGGTTTATGTGATATTTTCCCAAGAATAAATGGCTTAGGTTTAGTCTGGTGGTAAAATTTACCCTCTCATACACAAGTAATGAAACTTTTTAAGACCCTACACCAAGAAGGCCTAGCTTATTATCTGTATCCAAAGATGTCTAAAACGTACAAGTGGACTGTTTGCTTCTTTTTGAAATCGTTTCACCTTACCATCGTACTTACGTTGCTTAATTCTTTAGTACATTTGGCTTTGTCATATTCATAGAAAATAGTGTGGTGCTAAGCACAAGAGAATAGAGAGAAGGAACCTGTAAAGCTAGTCAGCGAATCAGAAATTAATGCCATTCGATTGTTGATGTAGCTGAAACAAACAAGTAAAAGAGTAGACAACAGAAAAATCACAAATTAATGCCATTCGATTGTTGCAGGGATTACATAACTTACAGCTATGGTAGTAGACAAGCAAAACTAGTAGCAGAAATATGATACCATTCCAGCATAACTCACTGTTTAGCATATAAAATTACAGAAACACCATCAAACTTGGCGGAGCAAGTCCACACTTTCCAATTTTAGATAGAACAATCAACAAGAAAGTACAAGACCTAATTTAAATTTCAGATAGAATGATTAAACAGATGAAAAGAAATGAAGGGAATAGCAAATAAGTCATGTAAACAAACCTGGGATCTTAATATTTAAGAAATTTGATACAAGCATAGAAGATCGAGCCAAGATGACGATGATGCAATGCAAGAGATGAAGGGACGAACTGATTGATGCCTTGATGGATCATTTGGGCCAATTTATAAACCAATAAGCCCATCGGAACCCACGTATGGTTTCTATTTGGGCTACACATATGAAATAATAACATATTTTTATAATTTTTTTATTACAATATTATTTTTTTATTTTTTATTACAAGAATAAAATTTTAAATTATTTTTTATTAAAGTATCATACTTTAAAAAACTTATCCAACAAATAATTTATTACATTTTAAACCGGTTACAACTTTACTTTTTGATGCTTACTTAGTTTAAATGAGATGACGTGGATGATACATTATTTTAATGACATAGTCAAAATAAAACCTCTTTTAAATTATTTTCAATGGGTTTTCATTTTTTTCTTGTGACAATTAAAATAAAACATTTCAATTTTTTTTTTAACTTTTTTCTTAATAAATTGCATGCAAATTAAATATTAGAGTAAATTATTTCTTAAATAAATATGATACATTACTTTTAGTATAACTGTTTTGTTTGTGAAAAAATGTAATACTTTTTATTTTATTTTGTTCAAAAACATACATCTCTTAACTTTTTATAAGATGTTAGCGAGATAAATTGTGATCTACAAGTTTTTTTAATATTATTGTATTAATTAATAACTCAGAAAAAATCTAATTAATTTGATATATTTATATGGTTCTAAACAAGTATAATATATTTTTTTAAAGATAAAATACTTTTTGGTAAAAAAAACGTAACAATTATTTTATTTTGTCAAAAAAAACACAAATTTTTAACACGTTAACAAAATTTTACACGTGGACATCTTATGTGGACAATAACATGACATGAAACTTGGAACTTATGTCATGTCATCTTAATTCAAATCAAAAGGTTACTCATTATTATAATCTTGATTTGGAGAGACTAAGGGGTTGTTTGTTTTTAATAAAAAAACTCTTAATGTCCTCTTAAGTCTGAATCGGTCAGACATAAGAGGATTCAGTGTGCTTGTTTTTTTTTTTCCAATTAAGAGCTTAAAAGCTCTTATTAAGTCTGAAAATTTAAGTGGTTGAGAAACCTCTTATTTCAAATCGTCGTCTACCTACTATGATCTCTTTACGCTCGATTTCTCTGGATCAACTCTTCTGTCTCGATCTCTCATCTCTCAACTCTGTCAACTGTCGATCCATATCAACTCTCGATCTCTCATCTTCAAACTTCAGATTTTAGACGCATAAAACAAACAGTCTGATTGATTCAGATTTCAGACTTCAGCACCACCTCTTAAAAATCAGAAGCGAATTCAGACTTCAGATTTCAGCACCTCATAAAAAACAAACGCCACCTAAACTTTTAATTGAAATTTAGGTAAATATGTTTGATTAATGTACATTGTGTAAATAATAAAATGTTGAAACTAAAAGTACAATGTTGTAACAGGAACTGGCGATGCTGTAATAAAATTACTTTGAAGGTACAATTTTATAATAAGAAATGACATGTCAGCGGTGTGGTACATGTAGACAACCTAAATAAAAGTGACGTATCATAAAAACCTGTATAATAGATAAAATTAAATCATAAGGTTACCCAATGTTGTATAATAGATAAATTTTTCAAAGTACTATGCTCTAGTAAAAAATATTTTGAAAGTACGTTACTGTAATAAGTAAACTGAAAGTACAACACTATAATAAGAAATTTTATGAATTATTTCGTGTATTTTGCCCTTTCTAATTTAGCATAATTTCAAGTTGGGATTGAATGAACCCAAAAGCTAAAAAAGTTGAGTTCCGATGAAAATGAGGGTTAAATAAAAAAGGATTATCATCCTTAGATGTACAATAGGATAAGATGCACAAAGATGAGATGCACCAGATCAATTCCCGTGAGAAGTGCAATTCATAGGTGGACAAGGTGATCAAGGGTCTAGATCCTTTCTTGTGCTTCTCACCTTAACTCTCCTTCTAACACGATCTTTCGACAAGTTAAAAATGTTGGCCCCGTTATTCGAACTTGGGTCAAAAACAGCCTCCTCAATCTTATATTATAGGGGATGCAGAAAAGTCAACATGTCTAATTAGAACCGACCGACTATAATTGGATATCCAATTGTAATTAGATCTGATAGAATTGAAAATTTCAATATCCAATTTGGATCGATCGTTTCTTGGATGACAATTTGATACCGACCAAACTGAATGGACCAACATCCAATTACCATCCGATTATTATCCAACCGTTATCCAACTAATTTCTCTTCAATTTACTTAAACCGAAATTTTTTGTGTTTGTTTTTGAATTTTTTAGCCTCACTTGTGTTAGTTTAACACATATCAGAAGTGTTATAATTTTTAAACGCACGTATTGTATGTTGTTGCAGTAAATGGTATTCATCCAAACCGTCTGCACCATATTGCACTGCATCGTAAAGTATGGTTTAGAACTTTTATAAGTAGATAACTACGAGATATTTCAATTCTAATTTAACTCTGGTATATTCATCTCAATCCCTATCATTATATGCTTTAGACGATGATACATTTATCCTACACCAATACTGTATATAATACATTACATATAATGATTTATGTTATACATATAAAACCCGACATTGACCATTGACCATTGACCATCGCCCGTCCACCTCCGATCGTCTTCCTCGTTCCGTTTTCCCGGCGGCCACGACAACTTCTTCCCATTAAATACCACCACAGACAACCAACATTTTATTAGAACAAGTACCTCAATTCAGACAACCCACACGAGCCGGGCCAAGCCACATCAACAATGACCATACGTTCATCGTATCCAAACTCTATACCGACTCCGTCCAGTAAGCAAGCCCGAGGTTTTTCGGATGCGTAAATTGCCATCTTCCCACACCCTCTCACAACGATCTCGACCACATTTTCACCGTCATACTTAACCGACTCGATGGCACCACCCGAATTCAGCATGTTCACTAGCCCAATTGGAGCGAACTCCACCGCTTTTCTCCCAACGACCCTCACTGGTGACACCGTAAGCAGCTCATAGTTATACGGTGATAGCGCAATCTCCAAACTGTCCGTAAATTTCAAAATCTTCATGGTTCTTCGTCTGTTCATGTACACCGCAAATGCCCCAACTCCTTGGATCGGAATGAAACTCCTCCCACTTTTGTTGCTCCACTCGATGTCCTTGGGGCTTGCCAAACAGGTTAAGGTGCATTTTGCTTCGAAATGTAGCTTGTTCTGCCTCGACTTAGGGCACCAACCTCCTCCTTGACAATTAAACGCTCCAAGAACTCCCGTAAACTATCGAGTAGTTAACCACATAGAAACAACGTAAGGTACGAATCAGCCAAAATCACGAAAGCAAAAGAAAATTTACCTACTTTATTCAGATTCCAGATCTTGAGCACGGATTTTCCGTCATGGGAAGGGTTCAAAAATAGTGAGTCTCTAGTTGGGAGGGCGTAGGATTGGCAGCGTAAAATTGATCCATCGGGAAGAACTAGTGTCCTAAGTAAAACAAAGTCGTGGTGGCCGACACGGTCGCTAACGTAGACCAGTCCACCGGAGATTGCTCGAGACGCAGCATGGAACTCAGCGGTAGGATGAGTCGATTGAAACATGTCCCAGTCGGGTTGAATGATATTCCCCATCCATAAACTATTGTATGCACAATGTACCATATGTAAACCTTGCAACCAATATGGATCTCCATTTGGATCAGTACACCAGAAATCATCTCCTATCGTTAAGCACGAAATTGAGGTCAGGAGGCCCGTTTTTCCGTATTACGATGATTTTGAAAAGATTATCGTAGTAATAGTACCTACACGTCCGAGTGCAATGGCTTCGGTTCCGAGATACATGAAATCGTTGCATTGTTCCATGCTAGCGATCACACAATTGCCTTTGAAATGTTTCCTCATCGATAAGGTTAACGCTTTGTAATAAGCTTTCCCGAGCGCAATTCTACCGCCAAATTTCTCCCCAACCAATTCTGAGATCTGTGCAACAAAAAATGGAAAACTGATAATGGCCGATAACTAGGGGCGGATCCAAGATTTTTTGCATGACAAAATAATTATCGTAATACAAAAATTTAAAAATTAATTATATAATTATTAAACGGGCTTGGTTTTTGGATATTTTGGGTCGATTAAATACAAAATCCCCCTATGGTCATAAAGGTTCAGATGCAGTGATTCCGGGTAACCCGCAAAGTGGATGGTCGCCCTGAGATTAGTCGCTCGCATAACGGATTGGATATACAAGATAATAATAAAATATTGTATTCACGTTAAATTTTATTAAGAAAAGTCCCATCGTATTTTTTTTTTCTTAAGTTATTATTTATCAAAAACTCTAAGAACGGTCAACGACAAACTATCAAAACAAATGTGTATTTGATATAGATTGATTATTGCATTTATCATATACATGCATGCTCTTAACGTTAAAAATATGTTTTTTTATTTATATTAATGTTAAAAATATAATTAAATTATTTATTTCAAACGTATTAACGAAATATTTTTAACAATGTAATTGGTAAAATAGTATACATATTTTTTAATGTATTATAGCGAAGATTAATTAAATAATTAATATGATAAAAGTATAAAATAAAAAGTGAAAAAGAAAAAAAAGTAAATTAAAAACAGTAAGGCATTTAGAATGTCAAAGCGAAACGTATCTTAATTTTTCATATAAAACTTATAATTTTTTTTTATGTTTATTGTTTCAACTTTCAACAAAAAAAATAGTTTAGTTTCAAACAATAATGTTTTTCTTAATAAAATATAACTTTAAAAATATCATAAAAATTAAAAATATATATAAAAGTTCTTATTTTTTTTAATTTTTTTTAATTCAGTTTTTTATTATAATTTAATTTAAATTTCATGACGAAGTAATTTATTTTTGGTTTAATAATATAATTTTTATAAAGATAATAACTAAGTATTATGTTAAAACTCAATAATTATCTTAATTATATTTTAGATTTTATATTTAAAATAAGTATTTTATCATGTATTTGATTATATTTATCTACATTTAGTTACACGAATTTAAACATGGAGCTTAATAAGTTGTATTTACACACAATTTACTTGTAATCTTGAATTTTAAGTAATATGCATCAATAAGCAGTACTTAATGTATAAAATATGGTTTTTAAGAGTTTTTGTCAAATGTTTTATAATATAATAGAAGGGTACTCGTGTAATGTAGCAAGATATATCATGAATTTAATGTTTTGTTTTATATTTTTGGCTCCACCGATATTATAATACGATTTTATGGTTTTGAGAAAAAGAAAAGGTTTTTATTTTTGAATGAAATATAAATTTGAAGATATTATAAAATTTTGAAAAAATTAATCAATATTAGTATCAAATTAACTATTTAAAAGTTATTGTTTTTGTGTAATTTCTTCAGTTTAATTTTTTATTATGATTTTATTGAAGTTTAAAATTGAAATAATTTATTTTTGATTTAATAAAATAATTTTTTTAAGATAATAATTAAGTATTCTGTTATAACTAAGTGATTATCTTAATTATATTTTAGAATTTTTATATTTAAAAAATAATGTTTATCATGTATTGAATTATGTTTATCTACAGTTAATTACATGAATTCAAACATGGAGCTTTAATAAAATGTACTCATGCACATTCTACTTGAAATCTTGAATTTTAAGTAAAAATATGCATTAATAAATAATACTTTATGCATAAAAAATGTTTTTAAAAGTTCTAGTCAAATGATTTATAATATAGTATAGATAGATAAAATAATTATAATTAACCCCAAATAAAAATTTTTGTGTAAGCAAAACATCAGGGGACCGACCTTCCACATGTATAGAGTTGTAAATGAATCGAATGAACACGAACGAACAATAAATTATATGGAATTTTTCGTGTTCATGTTTGTGCGTTAAAAGTTGTGTTTGTTCGTGTTCGTTTATGTTAGTTTATTAAGATGTTAAATGAACGTAAATGAATGAACATAAACAAACATATTCTAAAAGCAACCACCATTACTCATTATTTCGTTCATAAAAAAATAAGAAACAAAATAAAAAACCCGGATAAATAGGAGAGCCAAAAAAAATTAAAAGTTTAATTTAATCAACAATTTCACATATTGATGTCATAATATATAAATATATTTATATATAAAAACAAACACATAAACCAACATAAATGAACAAACATTCAAGAATTTAAATAAAAGAATGATATCATAATTCATGTTTGTTCATTTAACTAAACAAACAAAAAATATGTTCATGTTCGTTTACTTAATAAATGAATGAATTTGTTGCTCAAACGATATATGAATGGTTCATTTATAACCACAGAGTCTATAAGAGTATATCCAATAAGAGAAAGGATATTATGAGAATATGAGTTCAAATGTGAAGTGTAAGAAGATATTTGGATCATGAATCACTTTTAATCCCAAAACAACCCATGAATTGCGTTTTCGAAAAAAATTGATCTAGTGTATCTCATTAATTTAGATTTAATAATATAATAATTTATTTATCGTTTAATAATATAATTTTTATAAAGATAATGATTATAACTAATGATTAACCTAATTATATTTTAGATTTTTTATATTCAAAATAGATATATATTTTATATTTGATCATGTTTATCTATAATTAGTTACCCAGATTAAAACGAAGCTTTAATAAGTTGTATTTACACACAATTTAATGATCTTGAATTTTAAGTAATATGCATTAATAAACAATATTTTATGTATAAAAATAATTTTTAAGAGTTTTATCAAATATTTTATAATATAATATAAATTATTATTATATTAAATATGTTTTTTATTTTTTTTGGGTATATGATTAGAGTTATTTTTTAGTTTTCAATAAACCCGTATTTTTTTTTTTAATATTTCCAGTGTTGTAGATTGTATCGGAGAACGGAGATACTGCAATATGCATACCTATGAGACACCTATTTTCATGGTTTTGCCACGTATCATCAACAACTACAAATTTGGTTACTAGCAATAAAAAGCTTCTGCAACGAAACATGCTTACTTGGATGGCGTCAACCTTTGCACCGTCGATGCCCACCGCTTCAAGATGCGAGTGCAACCCTTCATACATATCGCCAACTTTATCCGGCGACACCACCCCAACACCGTGCCTTGCGATCTGATCAACCGCCAAATCCTCCATCGTCGTCTGCAAACCCTCTCTCATCATCCTAGGCTCAACTACTTCACAATTCTCCGGCGACATCCCCGGAAAATTCTCTCGTAAACCACTCCAATAACCACATAAAGTATGCCACACGTACACATGTTCTATGCTCTTGAATTCCTCCTTTAGGTCGCTCACAAAGGCACCCATACCCTTCTTGTAGGGCACCCTTTTACTCTGGTAATCCCTAAATTTATAATTCTCTTCGAATTTTAGCAACCTGCATGGCATTTGTTCTCCGGCGACGGTGTAATTCATACCTTCTTGCTGGTCGTCGGGATTGTCGGTGCAACTGATGGACTGCCATCCGTCGTCTATGAGGACAAGCCCCGGCGGACACCCACCTGCGGCTAGTCCTTGTACGCCTTCCCTTATGCCTTGAGGGTGTACCTTCAAGTAAAAGGCATCCCAAGTGCACCATCCAAATGTGTCCACCACAGCCGGCACAGTTTTATCTTCGAGAAGATTGAAGGTTCCTAAATGATTCTTGATCACCCTCATGGCGTCCTTCACCACCTGATAAGGGTCGATGCCGACGTGGATGTACACACAGCTTCTGAAGGTGGACCCCACTGCCAGACTGGACCCACTGTCCACGCAGACATCCACGTCATCGTCGTTGCCAGGCTGGAGGGAGGCTCCAAATGGTCCTTCGAGGAGTGGAAGTAGCAGAACGTACGGGTGCCCGAGATCCGATTTGTCAAGTAACATCATCTGGGTTTCAAATTCCACATCTTTTCCATTGTTTCCAATCCAGTGGGTCGTCCACCAGACCTTGAATCTGAAGAGGCTCATGAAGGGGATGTTTCTCAGTTTTCCGATGGGAGCCACGTGGCGACTTCTCAGCTTATCGGTGTGAAAGCCGACAAAGGATCCGATTATGTTCCGGGTGACGTCTTTGGAGGTGAATGGGGCGGGTGTGGATATGATGTTGCGGGGGACATTGGTGAGAAACGGATGGCCGTTGGCCAAGAAGTGTGTTCCTTCAAGCGAAACCGAGGACAAAACGGCTTCGTTTTGAAGGTCGTTCAGAGCACCTTTCCTCAAACTCGGAGCCATGAATCGGGTACAGATCGGATTCTCCAGCAATAATCCTGATATGAGATGTATAGAGATAGAGGGATGTATGTATCCTACGTTTGTGAGGAGGTGTTTTAAGGACACGTATAGGACGAGAGGGTCAAGTAGAGAATGTCTGGAGAAGTATAATTCCTTTGCTTCTACTTCTAGTATGGACCGCAATGTACCAAGGGTAATATGGTAAATAGCTTCTCGATGTACGACGAGCCAAATTTGGAATTGGGCACGTAGTGAGGATTAGGTGTCTGCCTAGCCTACTCAACAAAATATTTCCTTAAAAGGTAAAATGGTCAAAAATATTTTTATAATCTTTTCAAAGTAATTAATTCATTTGACAGATTTTATTTCTTTAGAAATCATTTTGCGAACGAAATGTTTCTTATAATCATTTTTCAAAGTGTTTTAAAAATAATCAATATTTTTTAGAGGGTTAAACGGTCAATATTTATATTGATTATTTTGAAAAGACTTTGAAAAATGACTATAAAGTGAATTTAACCGATGAAATTGGCTGTTTCGAATAGTTTCTTTGAATCATGTTGTCTGTGTAAACCAAAATGGTGTAATTACAATCTGCTTTGTTTAAATAATTATATTTTTATTTCAAATTTATTTAAACGATAATGATAATATAAATGAAAGAATATGAATAATATATGTCTGAAGGTTGTGTTTGGTTTTTCTTTTTTTAGCAACTAGTGTTGGGCATTGTGCGTTGTATGGTGGTGATAAATATTAGAATGGTACTCGTATAATGCAACGAGATACTTTTTGATTTTAATATTTCATTTTATTTTTTATCTCAGTCGATGTTATAATATGGTATTATGTGGTTTTGAAAAAACGATCGAAAATATCATAAAAGATTGACAAAAATATATCGATATTTGTATAAAATTAACTATTTAAAATTCCTCATTTTTTGTGTAATTTCTTAATTCAAATTTTTATTATAATTTGATTTAGGTTCAATAACAAAATGGTTTATTTTATAATATAATTTTCTTATAAAGATAATAATTAGTTATTTTGTTAGAACTCGATAATTATCCTAATTATATTTTAGATTTTTTATATTTTTAAATGAAATGTTTATCTTCTATTTGATTATGTTTATCCACAGTTAGTGACGGGTGTCGAGTCCGGCAAATAATAAAATTTATAAAAATCAGCCTATTATCTTTAAAACACACTTGTGATAGCGATAAGTAGGGTCGTCTCCTCAGGGACTCGAAGTTAACCGTAAGTCCAAGACGTAACCGTGTGCAAATTCATTGACATTAAAACAATATATAAAAGGGGGGGGTTGGAAGATTTATACATAGCCTAAAAATGCAAAATAAATTGAGAACTTAAACAATAATGAATAAATTCTAGTGATGAGTATAACTAGTTCTTTATCAAATCATGTATCATTGACTTGTATAAAAACATTTTCTTAATAGATTTTAGACCGGCCGTGAGTGTCGACACGCGCCAAACACTCCACTTGTCCTTATAATTAAACTAACATGAGAAGCTCGATAGATTAGTTCMTAATTGATTAAGTTGATTCTAGTCACGGACGTAAAATTCAACCTACCAATCGCCTTACGCAATAAACAAGCACCAATCCTAACTAATGAACGGACGCCCGAACATTTAAGCTAGATTACACAGTCCTATAATGCAACCCAATAAACTTGMTTGTCTATTGATGCACTATTTGCTACCAAGTGGAAATTAAGAACAATTACGGATTCCTAATCACAACTAGCAATTCAAATTTAGGMTAAAGGATTTAAGGGATCCTTCTCAAAACCAAAATCCCAAAAATGAAGAACGATTCAGAACAAGAATTTGTGCAAATAAAATCCAATTAAGGCTCAATGTTAAACAAGTCTCAACAAAGTTCAATTCAAACTAATTATAATCTCATCACTAAAAAYAGGAAACTAGCAACTCATAATTCTATTTTGAATCAGAAATCAAACTTACAGATAGTAGGAAGCAGTAGAGTATGCAGAACTGAAATTAAGAAATCCAAAATCGACTCCAAAAATTCTGAAAATATGTTTACCGCTTCCTCTCGATTTCTGCTTCTGTTTGTTAATCGACTCTCCAATCGACTTCTTCTCCTTCTCGACTGCTGCTTCCTTCCCTCTTCTGCTGCTTCCAATCGACAGCCCCCTGCTGCTCGATTTCTTCCTTCTCGGCTGCTTGATGACAGCCCCTTTTGCTGTCCCCTTTCGATGTTCCCTCTCGCCTCTATCGACGCTCGATTTCCTCCTGCTGCCTCGCCTCTCCTCTGCGTCTCTTCTTGCTGTCAATCGACAGCCTTCCTCTCGACGACCTGCTGCTCTCGGCTTTCAATCCCTCCTCCCCTCGACCGCCTTTTGCTCCCTCTATATCGACAGCCTCCTTCGTCTCCTCGTACTCGCCCATGATCCCCCGATTTCTCTCTCGCTGCCCACGTTTGCTGCAACACGATCTCCCGTCTTTCCCCCTGTTTGGCTACTGCACGACCTCTAAATCTCAATCGATGTTGGTCTTGGGCAGCAGCCCAAGGCTGCTGCTGCTTCTTCTCTTCTTTTCTTTTCTTTTACACGGGCTTGGGCTTGCTTTTGGACTGGCCTTTTTTGTTCTTTTGGGCTGCTGGACTGCAGTTTCTGCTTTGTGCTGTTTGGCCACAAAAACAATAAAATTTTCAACTTAATTAGCCCCAAGAAGTTATATATCAACTCACAATTAAATTGGACCTATTTAAGCATCTAATTGACATTAATTTCAGGGTACTTTGACGTAAAAAAATGTATAAATTTAAGCTTATCAGTTAGTTACATGAATTTAAACATGAAGCTTTAATAAGTTGTACTTATGCATAATTTACTTGTAATGTTAAATTTTAAGTAATATGCATCAATATACAGTACTTCATGCATAAAAAATAGTTTTTAAGAGTTTTGTCAAATGATTTATAATATAGTATAGATTGAAGTTAAATGGGTCGATGATCACATATCATATATCAAACTAATAAGAAAATATATATATTACATTTTATATGATATCGCTTCATCATCCTCCGTTATTTTTTAAAATATTTATATATACTTAAATAATAATATTTTTATATCAAATTTTCCTTATATCAAACTTTGTAATTAAATCAAAATGATATATATATATGTGTGTGTGTGTGTGTGTGTGAGACTATTGATTATAATAATAAGGTGTATAATGAAAATTGTTCTGTCATAAACATACCAATTTATACCCTACACATATTCCCATAAAATATTTACATCCACCACACAAACGCGGTATTATTACCCAGTTTTGTATATATAGTATTGCAGATATTTTTACAATTTGCTTACATTTTTGTAATGTACTCGTTTGCAACTTTGTTCAAAAACCTTCCTCGAAACCCCATTTTCTCTCAACCTACATTGCACAAAGGGTAAAGTAGTCGTTAGTATTGTGACAACTTCCGCTATAGATGAATCCGATTAAATTGTTTAAATTTTCATTTGACTTGTTCGAGTTTTTTTCGATCCGTCTAAGATTATGTTTTCATTGTTTGGTTTCTTGTTATAGGAAAAAAGGCTTTAATTTTTTTATGCAAAATCAACATACATGGTATGCTAAAGAAAATGATTGAAACTCATGTGACTAATCATTTAGTACATATATTATTTTTTAAATAATATATGCAGTCGTAAAAACCACATTTTTTAGAATATATGTAGTAGGAAAAACAACATTTTTTTAGAATATATGTAGTTGGAAAAACCATATTTTTAAATAATAAATGTATTTTAATTTATATACGATATTTATATTAATATGATAAGGGTGTAAAAAAATAAGGAATATAAAATAAATTAAATAATTAATTATAAGAATATAAAATATAATTTAAAAATTAAAAATATTTTATTTTTAATATTAACTTGGGAGTGTGCTGATCGGAGGTTGTACAACTTTAAATTTGTTTAAACATCAAAACTTATATCCCTTAATTTTTAATGTTTAGCGTGCTTAATAATATAATATAAATAAAGATATAAAATAAAATAGTAAGGGATATAAGACAAATTGATAAATAATTATAAGTTATAAAATGTAAGTATTAAAATAATTAGTACTTATTTATGATATTTAATAATATGATTAAATCCAAAAATAATCAATATTGAGCTTATTTTGAAGATATTGATGAGACAATTATAATGATATAATTTATAATTTTTTTTTGATGTATCTATACTATAATATAAAACATTTGATAAAAACTCTTAAAAACCACTTTTTATTCATAAAGTACTGTTTAATAATGCATATTACTTAAAACTTAAGATTGCAAGTAGATTATGCGTAAGTACAACTTATTAAAGTTCTATATCTGAATTCGTGTAACTAACTGTAGATAAACATAATCAAATACATGATAAACATCTCATTTTAAATATAAAAAATCTAAAATATAATTAGGATAATCATTGAATTCTAACAGAATACTTAATTATTATCTTTATAAAATGTTATATTATTAAACCAAAAATAAATTATTTAATTATCAAACTTAAATTAAATTATATTAAAGAAAAAAGAAATTACATAAAAAATTAGAACTTTTAAATAGTTGATTTAATATTAATATTGATATATATTTTTTAAATTTATATTTTATTCAAAAATAAAATAATTATTACTTTCTTAAAAATACTTAATCTATACTATATTATAAAACATTTGATAAAAACTCTTAAAACCCATTTTTTATGTGTAAAGTACTGTTTAATAATGCATATTACTTAAAACTCAAGATTGCAAGTAAATTGTGCGTAAGTACAACTTATTAAAGCTTTATATATGATTTTGTGTAACTAACTCCAGATAAACATAATCAAATACAGGATAAACATCTTATTTTAAATATAAAAAATATAATTAGGATAATCATTGAGTTGTAACAGAATACTTAATTATTATCTTTATAAAATGTTATATTATTAAACCAAAAATAAATAGTTGATTTGATATTAATATTGATATATATATATATATATATATTTTCAAATTTTTGTGACATCTTCAAATTTATATTTTATTCAAAAATAAAATCATTATTGCTTTCTTAAAAACACATAAAATCGTATTATAACATCGACATAAACAAATAATAAAATAGAAAATTAAAATTGAGTTGTATATTGTTGCATTGCGCGAGCACTCTTCTAGTTATACTTAATATACGATTATGTATGTTAATATAATCTATATAACCTTATAAACCATATTTATCAAAAGTTTTAAAAACAATTTTAATGCATAAAGTACTATACATTTATTCACAAAGTTTTAAAAGTCTTAAAAA